TAATTATTATTACTTCGAAGAATTTTAAATTTTTTTGAAATAAAAATTTTTGGAGTTTTTTTATTTTAAAAAATTCTATATTAAAAATTTTTAAAAACCTTTGAAGATTTTTGAAAATTTCTTTAGAAATTTTCTGATGAATATGTATAAATATATGTAAATATTAATCTTAATAAAGTTTGCTAACCAAGATTTACACTAGTATTCAAAAAAAAAAAAAAGTATATATATTATTTTTTTAAAAAAATTTATTAATTAAATAAAGTCTTGTATATATTTCATTTTAGCCAATAAAAAAAAACAAAAAAATTCTTTTAAAATATATATTATCAAGAATATAATAAATGAATTTACTTAATTATTTGAAAAATTATATACAGTATATACTACTATATGTGATATATATACTGTATTTTATTATACTGTAAAAGGGAGATTTATTTTTATTAGATAAAAATAGATATATATAAGCTGAAATAAATAAATTGGAATAAATCAAAATAAATAGATAAATAAATTTTCTGATAATTTAAATGACCAATTCTTTTAGACAATATTAGCTAATTTTTTATTTAATAAAATATAAATAATTTTAAGAAGTTATTTCTCAAGTGTCTGTGTAATTTTAAGTTATATAAATGCTAAATATTGTAGAAACCATTTTATTAAATTGTAATAGTGCAAATGAAATAGATAGATAAATATATTTAGCAAATGATAAGATTTGATAAGATTTCAACTAATATTATGGTGTCTGGAGAGACATCAAACGGTTGATTCGCTGTAAAGTATTAGTTTTTTACTTTATTTGGTGTTTACTTTCTTTTTTTGTAATTTGTTGAAGACAGATATAGTGGATAATTGATTGAAGAATTTCCTCAATCTTTGATTACGATTTTTATATTGATTAAGCGTTATCTCGATCGCTAGGAGAATAAGAATTTAAAATTTTCATATTTTACCATAAAAACTATCAACGATTTTCAGTGATGAATATGTATTATTTAACTTTATTCTCGCGTAAATAGATTAAAAACCAGGTGGAGATGTTCTCATTGTCGTTTTAGTAAATTTAGGCACCAGATGAAAACCTTTTCTGTAACCTTTGTGAGTTCTACTAAAGACTGTATATTTATCCCGTGGTTTCATTTCCGAATGTTTTGGTAATTGTAATGCAATTTTCTATATTATAATTAAACAAATATGAAGTTATTTGGTAATAACATAAGAAATCAAACAGAATACACTCACCAGAGCTTTACACTTGACACCAGAGGCAGCGACCGCGGCGATAACCCTATCAACAGCTTTTAATCTTTTACGAACATTGGCTTTCCGAGTTTTATTCATATTCATTGGTCTCTTCCTATTCTTAGCATAAATATCATTTGCAAACATGCATAGGTAAAGACTTCCGGTTCTTTAATAATTTATCTTTGTTGGTCATTAAACCCACCATAGTAAACCACCGCAGGCTGCCACGGTAGCCCTAAAAGCACCCAACATTCTTTCGAGATGATTTTCAGAGATGTTTGTGCCACCACCGTGCTATGTGCGCTAATTTTGTGTAACCAATATCGGTAAAGATTTACTCGCAAAAATAGTGTAGTAACAACCGATTTATCCCTCAAATTTTTATTATGTCCTCATCCACAGTTCAAGCTCCTATAAAAGATAGTGGTCCTGAAGTGCCAAGGTAATCTCGTTGATTTCGGTATAATATTTAATTCCTATTTATTTATTATTTTATATAGATTCGTAGTCTTCAAATTATATCTGCATACCTTGTTAATGGTATTTCTTCCGCTCGGCACTTATTTTTTTACTGCAAAGTATTGTTTCGAAGGTAACATCGTGTTAAATAGGAAATGAATGAATTCTCTCTTCGTCTTCCGACGCGTTTAATTAGTTATGTAATTGTTTAGGAGAATTCAAGACAACTTATGCAGCACTTTCAGCTGCTGGGATCGCAAACGTTGTACTGCTTTCTTTTATAATTACCGCATTCGTTGAAGATAGCAGTGTTCAAACAAAGGACAAAAAGACGGAATAAAGTATATAACGACGCAAATGTACATATATGAAATTAATTATTTGTAAACCAAACCAGAATAAAATCATTTAAATACTAGTTTTAGAAGAAAAAATGTATCTGTATATGCAATCATGTGAGTAGGTCGTATCATGTGACCAAAAGATATCATTGAAATCCAATATACTGTATATAGATATATATATACGGTACATAAATAACAATGGTTAATATAATAAGATGTGATAGTTCAATTCCATTCTTATCACTCTTTGCAACTCATAAGGCTTATAACATTCGACCACCTTGCATTTTTCAGTTTTCTTCTCTAAAAACAGACTATGAATTGGTACCTGCCGATCCTCTAAAAGATTTCGTAAAGGTGACAGTTCCATCATTTGAAACTGTGGCATAGCACATTGAAGGTATAAAAGGTGGTGATTGCGGAGTTGAAGAAATATTCAAAGGTTCAGGTTGTGCAGCAACAATTTCCTCTATGGATGGTGAGGTTAAACTATGTTGATAATTAAAAATTGACTTAGTATCTGACGCAGGAATTTGATTAATCATATTCATAAGCTTACGATTTAAATCCCCCTAGAACTGGCTCGACACGAGTGGACAAATAGAAATCACCAGGTCCAGTTAATTGTAAGAATTCCTACAGAAAGAAAATTTTCATATAATTACTCGGATTTTCATTTTCAAAAAAAAAAAGTATTGGTAGTATTACGAACAGGTCCACCGAATGCCCATTTTCTTGTTCTCACTGTCATTCTTTTTAATCTTTCTAAAGTAGGCTTCACTGATGGGCTGTTACGAAATGTATCAAAGAATGTGGAATTTATACTCGATAAATTTTCTTTAATTCTTTTAATTAATCGGTTCTTATCAATAGCGGAAGGGCTTATCAAAGATGAAGCAGTTGTTGGGTTTGTTTGTGAATTCCAGGCTATTAAGTGTCTATATAGTAAGAAATTAAGGTCAGAACCTAATACATTAAAAAAGAAGAATGGAAGCATACAACAAATCTTACCTTGCATTCACCAAATAAGAGTCTCCATGATTCAAGACTAATCGATGAATAGCTCCATAGCTTGTTATCACTAATGTACCCCTACCGGTTATGCAATTTGCAAAAGCATTTAACGCTCCCTAACAACAAAGATTTTAGAATGAATGAAGCTTGAATCGAAAATTAAGCGTAAGTAGACTTACCATCTTGCGAACACGTCTTATACTGACAGTTACGCGCGGACCTCTTGCGAGCAGTGCTCCTTTTCGCACGTAGTACTTCGAGGTACCATCCATGCTGATCACAGCAGCATCAGATAAACTGGTAGGTCCTAATAAAACGTCACCAGGATGTGAACCAGTAGTAAACTGATCATTTCCAATAGAAGCCGAGGAACTGATGTCAAACCAGTGAGTTGGTGGATAATTACTTTGCGATTGATCATGTAAACATTAGATACATTTTTTACCTTGTGATAAATTAGAGAACCACCAGCCAGTTTTCTGCCTAGGGCAATCATGACATTACCGTCTGTAGTACGTTCAGCCAGAACCTGCATTCAAAATTTGCAAGAAATGCGGGTTAATATTGGATGCTAGTGAGGGACTAAGATCTTAAGCGCAACTATAAAAACATTATTTCGCACTTTACTTGATACAGCAATGGCTGTTCCTGGGGCTGCAAATATCTCTGATCTTGGTGGAATTTTAACAAGGAGTAAGGCACCCAGAGTTCCCGGAGAAATTACTTCAAATATAGGATCTGGGATCGGGTGTTGTTTGGTCCATGTTAACGGAGAATTTATCCCTGTAGGAAAGAGAAACGCGTATATTTCGTAAGAGAATAAAAATTTTACTGACGTACCAAAAATCTGCGAAGAAATATAAAGACGAAATTTATTTAACTAACCAGGAGTTATGAAAGAGATAAGACTCGAGAGACGTCCTTGTTTTTTGTCATTCGTCGCTTCAACCTTTTCTTCAAAATCTTTTTCCTTACTTACACTCTTGCCGTGTTCGTCAAACATTGTCTCGCTAACCTTTATCGTTGCATTTTTGTTCGACTCGTTATTCCTAGCATTGTATGCAAGTCCTGCATAGGAACGTAAGATAAATCTTGGGTTCAAATAGGCTTTCTGGTTAAGAAGTAACAGATTCTTCGACATTTTCTTCACAATTCAAATAACAAAATTTCAGATCTTTGATAATTTAAGATTCATGTCATGTGAATATCTAAATTTTTATTTACCGTTTATGATCCTCGTACAAAATTTTGTAACGGAAATTATTTAAAATTAAAAAAAGTTAATTCCGATTTATTTACAGTATATACAACATTTGCAATATAAGATACAGCATAAAGAATCAGTGAATTAATAATCTCGTTTTTAAATTATTATAAAATTTCAAACTGAAAAAAATTCAGAAAATGAAAAAATTATTGAGATTAATAAATAAATTTATTAGTATACAGCATATTAAACTAAATAATCTTTGAGGAACTAACGGAAACCCATCAAAGATGTATAAGAAGCTAACATTTATTGATTGAAAAATTCCGTAAAGCTGAAGTTTGCTAAAACAGTATCGGGCTAATCTAGCAAATATATACGAGAAGCAATGTCCCCAATAATCCAATCCATTCCGCACAGTAGATTCTCACCGGTAACTGCACTACAAGCTTGAATAGCCCAATGATGAGTTACTATCGAATCTAACTCGAGCCCCTATATTATTTTAAAAGAAGTTGAATGCAATCAAGAATCTCATACTAAAAATTTATATATTATCAAAATATACCTGGCGAATCTGCTGATCAGACATAGCACCGGGGAGGTCTTGTTTGTTGGCAAATATCAACAACGAAGCACCTGCTAAGCGCTATATTTGATGTAAAACGCAGCACGCTATAAAATTCGCAGCCAACCTAATGCTATAAAACCTTTACCTCCTCTTTCAGCAAAGCCTTTAGCTCATTTTTACAATCCTCTAAACGCATTCGGTCCGCGCTATCCACCACCCAAACAACACCATCTGTTTGCTCGAAATAATTGCGCCAATAAGATCTGATGGATTTTTGTCCTCCAACATCAAACATGTGTAATATAAAACTTTGGTGTTGAAAGCATGGTAACATTGTGAGTGCGTAAACTTGAATTTTATAAAAGCTAAATCGAAAAAATCATATCATCGACGGAATTACTTGTTATGCTCTAGGGTTTTGATATTAAAGCCAAGAGTTGGCGAGATAGTATTAATGTCTTCACCGTTCAACCGCTTTAGAATTGTTGTTTTTCCAGCATTGTCAAGACCGCTAAACGTTTATTTTGCTGTTAAATGAATCATTTTGCAATTTTACCTGTAAGAATAATAAGCTTGAAAATATTTCATTAGAATACATACAGGACTAATAACCTCATTTCCTTTTCTTTCTGACGAATTTTCCTTAGGATAGATAACAGTCCCATTTCTCTTGAAATTTTAAATAATTTAAGAAGCTTGAGAGATGAAGAAACGAATTCTTTACAACAAAGTTTTATTTATAAGATCACGTTCATAAAAGGAAATAAGTCTATATAAATAAAATTATTATGCTCGGGCGCAGTAAATATTGTAGTCATATGCTCGGAAATTATCCCGGTAATACCACGATTTGTAACACCGACTATTTTAATCAGTACGCGACGCGTTTAATAAAATTGAAACTTCTCAAGAAAGTTGGTCTCTTGATGGTTTGAGTGAATGTGCAACCTTAATGTTGCATGCGATAAGATGAAAAAGGCTTCCAGGAAACGAGTAATAAGCCTCTAAAAGACTATTAGTGTGGAACTATTATATTAGCGACTATTAGTCACCTGGATGTTGAACTCTTAGTTCGCTGTGGTTCAAGAACGTCTTGAATTTTCTGTAGCACACTTTGGGACTATTAGTCGTCCGTGGTGTTGAACTGTTAGTTCGCTAGAGCTTTTATGTGTAAAATAATAATTGTTCATATCATAATAAACAAACTTAAAGTTCGATTTGGAAATTATCTAAGCATAAAAGTGATTATTTAAATACGGTGAAGCTTCTCTAAGTTCACCATCTCTAAATACAGGGTTTTCTAAATGCAGATTCTCTCAAAGTGCAGATTTTTTAAAATTTCTTATATGGGTCTCAAAAGCCTGCATTTAGAGGGTTGAAATGAAAGAAGAGAATAGTATTCAACTGGCACAAATAAAAAGCAACGAAACATACAACTTGTGGGGACAAGGTGTCTTTTATTAAATATTTATAATATTTTAAAAAATTTTACTAATTCCTATTTTTGCGAGAACATACTATCACACCGTGATAGATTTCATAGGAATACTGCTATTGATGAGGAGCTGACACAGTCTGAAGTCTAATATATTTTAGTTTATATCAAATTTTTAGAGTTTGAATGATAGAGTTATGTTCATTACCATCTGTTCTGTCTTCTGAAATTAATTGTGAAAGAGTTAATAATGATATTAGTTCTTTTCTTTCTAAGGAAATCCGAAGGATTTAATTTACAGTAATTTTACATGTGTAGATATCGAACGTGAATATCACGATGCCAAGAAACGAATGAGGGTTCATTATTTATGGGAGGATGCAGTTAATAAGATTGATTTTAGGGATATATCGAAAAAAAAGATGCGGGTAACTATGGGTCAATGCTTCACTATACATTAACTATATTTTGTGCTTCTTTTCAGTAGATTTTTGGAAGTTGTAATTTTTCCGACAAGTTCGGGATTTTCTGATGTCTACAATTCGACAAAACACTGTCTGACGAAAAGATACTTATGAAATTCTCTAAGTATTATGAGTCATGAGTCTTCGATATTATTTTCATTATTCACATTATAAAAATATATGCTTATCAAAATAGTGCTGATTGAGCGAACAAAACTAAACGATTTGGAATAAAATGGCAACACCTGTACGTTTGACATCAGAAAATAACAATCTAATCTTTTAATATTCTTCAGTATGGTTTTCCCTATTTACAGATTTATTTTAGGTTACAGCACTACTACATTAAACATAATCTATTTCAATTGTTAAATTCGTTTAATCCATTTGATGGAATTGAAGGCAGTTGATATAGAAGTTTTTCCAGAATCACGGGAGTTAAATAATATCAAATTGTATTATTATACCACAGGATTGCGGATGTTGCAATTAATATGATATTTACTAGTCTTTTTTAGGCCCTAATAATAAAGGTAATGAAGACAACACCTTACACACTTAATCAATGTGATTTTCAAAACTCAATGTTAGAATAATTATGGTATTTTTAGAAAAATTTTTTGGATATAATCTTTGTTTTTGTTTAACACATACTTGTACAATTGACTTTAAAAGGCTAATAATGAAGCTCTTTCTCAATTAACCGATGCTATAGCAATAAGGAAAAATGGCACTATCAAAATAATTAATATAATAATGTTATTGTCTTTGCAAATTATTGTTAGCCATTCAATTTATTTATTATTTAAGCATCATATTCCTGAAGTTTTAACAGTAATCATTTTTAACATCCTATTTAATTCTCCATCACGTTTTGTCTATGACAATATGCCTATCTTTCTCCAAAACCTATAATTAATATTGTAATTTTTGATTTAAACCAGCTAATTTTTTGTATATTTCAAATTTATAAAATTATTTAACAAAACTTGCCATCAAGTATTTTGAACTTTTTAAAACAGATTATATAAGAAATACAAAATACAAAGCTGAGGATATTAATATTATCAATAGTATAAATTTATTAATAATATTAAATATTAAATTTATATTAATTTAATAAATTTGTTTTTATAATTTTATAATATACTTTAAAGTTTAATTTATTAATACTTATTTTAATATTAATTAGAAATAATAAAGCTTTAAAAAATTTCAATTAATTTTAAATAAATTACAAATAAATAAATTGATTTTTTCTTTTAAAACAATTAATAAATAATATATAAAATAAATTTTATTATAAATTATTTTAAAAAAGATATTAATTCAATTTCAAGTAAAAGCAATTGAATAGTATTAATATAATATCTGATGCTATAACCTATTAAGTACTGGAAAAACTCTCTCCTGATCACATCTGTTTTGTTAAGAATTTTTCTTTTATAATAATTTTAAGCAAGAAAAAATGTTTTACTCTTTTTATCGCAAGTGAGTTCCAACTCAGGAATTCAAGAACCTTCAAGACAACTGATGCAATGGAATGAAACCCCTGATTAAAGTCTAATCAAGTTTGGGAGTCTTGTTTATCCTTCAGTTGCATGGGAAAAGGCCTGTGGCAATTCTCTATTCTTTTGTTCTCTTGTATATCTTCTTATTCTTATTTTATCATAAAAACCATCTATATTATTACTATCATACTTGCTAAATCAAATACTTTCCAAAACATACACTCAAATAGAGTTATTGGATCTACTGTTTGTTTTAATACAACCTTTATATAAAACTCTATCATGACGATACTTACTGTACCACTCCAAAATCTTCAAAATTTTTTGTTCAAAAAACTGAAATCAGTTTACCCTCTCCAAATAATCAGTACTCTCTAATCATCCAATCAGATTTTATCTAAAAATAAAAACAAAAACCAAACTTGTTTAAACTGGTTTTATATTACAATAACAACAATTACAACAATAATGTCAATTACACTACTACTGATAACTATAACAACAAACAATGTCATATATACTCTACTATTTATAGTAATCAAAGAGTCGAAGAGATAGGACAACGAGCCTGTCCAGAGGTTCTTTTGAAGAAATAATTGATTCTTTACTTATAGATTTTATAGTTTATTTCATTTAGTTTTAGTTTTAGTTACATTTATTTTCTTTTCTCTCTCAATTACTATAATTACAAATTTACAAAAAGACTTTGTAAAATTTTCTATTCAGACACAACTAGTATATAGTATTATTTTGAATTTCTTTTTCAATATTAGCTAGATATGTTCACATAGGTAAACTAATATTTAACTTGTTACCTATGTATATAAAAGATGTTGTTTCTTTTACAATGTATATCATATTATATACAATATCAAATAAAGAAATGATATTTACCTATAAGAGAAAACCTCACAAAAAACCTATTAAGTACTGTTTTTTATAAAAAATTAATCCATATAATAATTCAATAAATATTAAAATTATAATTTTTTTTAAAAAAATATATGATAATATAACAATTATTTGAATAGTATTTTAATGTTTTTAAAAATTAATGAATATAAACAAGTAAGTATATAGTTATTAATTACAAAAAAAATAATAATGTTATAATAATTATTAAAAAAAAAAACTTTTATATTTAAATATATAAATTGAATTATATTTTATTTTAATCAATTCCAACAGTTATTAATAATAATAACATATACAAATTAGAATATATTTTATTTTAATTAATTTCAATTAATATTTCCTTAACAATAATTAAAATTTTAACTTAAAATATCTTAATTTGATGTAAAGTTTAAATAGTTATATTAATTATAGATAATAAGAAAAGTTATAACTTATATAAATTTAAAATTAATATAGATTTATAATTTAAAATTTGAACAATAAGATAAAAAAGATATTTGAATCAACTCTTAAATCAAATTTCTTTTAATAATAAATCAAATTAAATAATTTAGATAATTTAAAACTAATAATAAAATTTTTACTCTTTATAATCTGCTTTTTAATATTATAATAAAAAACATTACAAATATTAGGCTCTGAGGTACTAAAATAATAAGTAGAAAAATAAATACATTCTATATATTATATACTGTATATACTATATATAATAAATATATATAATAAAAGATTAACATTAAAAAAAAAAAAAACTTTTTATTGATTGTATTCATTTCATTAAAAATTTTTCTTTTATGGTAATTTAAGCAAGAAAAATGTTTTATACTTTTTATCACAAGTGGGCCCTAGCTCAAAAACTCAAAAACTTTCAAAACAACTGATACAGTAGAATAGGACCTTTAGTCAAAGTCTACTCAAATTTGAGAGTCTTGCTTATCTTTTAGTTATATGAAAAAAGGCCTGTAATAATTCTCTTTTCTTTTGTTTTCTTGCATCACTCCTTCTCTTTATTATATTATAAAAACTATTCACATTAATATTATTATACTTACTAAATCAAATACCTTCCAAAAAAAACACTTAAACAATATTATTAGGTCTATTGTTTGTTTTAATACAACCTTTACATATAATCTTACTATAATATTATTTATTGCACTATTTCAAAATCTCCAAAAAAATTTTTTTCAAAAAACTAAAATCAGCTTATCCCTTCAAATAATTGTCACTTTTCAATCATTCAATCAGATTTTATCAAAACAACAAAGAAAAAACTGAATTTGTTTAAACTGGTTTTTTAACATAACAACAATAACAACTATTATAACAACAAACAA